CCTTCATTGCCTTATAAACGCTTAGTCGCCCCTTAGTCTTGCATATAAAGTCCTGCTGTATAACTAGCGTCTTAAAGCGTCTTAAAGCAAATCTGACTGAAGACTCCGATTTTATCCGCATATAATAGAATATAGAATTGAAGAATGAAATGAAATATAGAGGCTCTAAAAAAAAAGAAAGCCTAAAAAAAAAAGTAGGCCCTACTTTAGAAAAAAGTAGGACAAAAAAAAAGTAAAATGAAATCCAGAATTAAAATTTTAAAAGATGTCATGGAATTTTTTCATCAATTTGACATCAGTAGAAGATGAAATACTAGTTAAAAAGATACTGCCCGATGTTCAAAATGCACGGGTATCAATTGGTTTATTGCTACAAATTTAAAGAATTAAGTGCACAAAAAATGGAACTGGTGCACCTTATATTTAAATAAAACCAGAGCTCGCAAATAACAGTTGACAGTTTCTTGTAGTCACCAAAAAACTGTTTTTTGCATATCAGGTGCGCAAAAGGTCACACTAGAACCGTTCACCTGTGTCTTTTGAACGAACGGTCTGTGCTCAACCAAAAACAAATTTTTCGTGTCCTTTTTGCTCGGGTCATTCGCTGACCATTTTGCAACGAGCGAAGAAAATAAAAGTCTTTTGCCTTTGTATGAGTGTATGTATATGCGAATGACTTGTAATTTTCATGTTGCAAACCACACTTTAAATTCTCTACTTGTTGTTAAGCTAAATACTGAATAAATAATAAATATAATGTAAAGATTTAATACATATGGGCAATTCCATAGACACGCACGCGACAACAATTTCCCTAGTACCATATCACATTAAAAACAAGTCCTATGAAAAGAAATCAGTTTTATTAAAAGTAAAAAAAAAAAGAATTAAGTATTTTCAATAGTTTCTGATTATATCTCACAAAAAAGTTAATATAAGGCGACTTTAAAAAGCACGCTTTTTAGAAAAAAATGCAGTCTGTGGTGCTTTTGTTAATATTTTTCGATCACATGATAAGTGATGCAATTTATGAAGTCCAGAAATACACAGGACTTTCCTCCATTTTTTATTTAAGAGGGTTGTATAATAAAAATATAAAATAATATATAAAAATTTAACTATTTCTTAGTTTAAAAAAGTTTATACAATATGGATTTATTATCCATATTGCCCATATGTTAAAGCTGTTACTAAACGTTATTTAAACTCTACTAAAAACAAAAGACCATTTACGATGAGTTTTTCGTTTTTTCGCTCATCAGCTGACACTCAATGAGTGAGCGTTTAGTTGAATCGCTCACTCTAGGTTGTTGTTGAGTGAGCATAAAAACAACCCCTAAACGGAGAACAGTTAACCAAAAACAAAAACATGGAGCAACAAAAAGTTCAGTTCAGAGCGAGAGCACACGAGTATTGTCTTTTTTTGTTGTGTTAGTGAGCAGATCGAAACACGAAAAACGGTCAACTGTTATTTGCGAGCTCTGAATAAAACACAGTTCAAATACTAAGTGCAATATATAGTTTGAATGCTCGTATTGCCATAAAAATAATACCATATCATGATCCACATAAACAGGCAAAAAAAAAAAACATTATGTGCAACCTTTAAAATAAAATTTTTTCACTCTAATTAGTGGAGTATCTTCAACAGAAGCATGTGTTTCAAAACACAAGCTAAGTTTACCACTAAAAAGAAATAATATAAACTCAAAAGAATTAGGCATAGCTGGAACAATCAATAAATAAAAGAAATATTAATCTGAAAATATTAAAAAGAGGTTCAATCGGAAAAAAAATATTTTCGGGTGAATCGTGTCAGGTCGCACAAGATCCAATTAAAAAATCAATTGTTTATACTGCTTACAGAAAGAAAAAGAAATGAATTATGTGCAACCCTCAGTATAATTATTCAGGCGTTAAAAAACGTTTTAAAATAAAAAAAAACTTTCAAGTTGTCTGACAAAAGTATATAATCTGCCATTTATCGTGGAAAAATTAAAATATTTCAGGAAGAAAGGAACAATATAATAATAATAATAATAAATATCAAGTTCGTAGTTTGAAAGTGGAGTGGAGTGGACGTCGCAAAATTTTGGCAAAAACATTATCTGTGCATTATCTGTATATATATATACATACATACATAATTATAAATTAACTGTAGACATATTTGGGCATCAAAAGTTTTTAAAGAAGAAAGGAAAGCTAACTTCAGGCGGAGCCGAAGTTGATATACCCTTGCAGTTAAAACCGAAAAATTGGATATAGTTGGTCGATCCTTATGAGAATATCATAATATAACCAATTTATTAAAAAAAAGCTAAGACAAAGTCCTAAGCTTTTATCTTCAAAAATACCAAAGTTGGTATTTTACCATTTCCGACCGTTTAGCTATAGGATATAGTCGACCGATCTTTATAAAATTTGCTAAGTCGAACTAACCAAGAATAGAATCTGTATAAAGTTCCAACTTTCCATCTTCGAAAACACGAAAGTTGGGTCTTTTCCGATTTTTCAGTTGTATAGCAGCTATAGGATATAGTCAGCCGATCGTTATGTAATTTGATAGGTCGATTAACTGACCATCTCTGCTAATCTCTGCTAAGTCCCAGCTTTCTATCTTCAATAACACGAAAGTTGGGTCATTTCCGATCATTCATTTTATGGCAGCTATAGAACATAGTTGACCGATACCGTCCGGTCCAACTTATATACTGCATGCAAAGGAAAGAAGGGTGTGTGCAAAGATTCAAGTCGATAGCTTTAAAACTGAGAGACTAGTTTTGCGTATAAACTGTAGACGGACAGACGGACATGCTTATATCAACATAGGAGGTGATCCTGATCAAGAATATATATACTTTATAGGGTCGGAGATGTCTCCTTCACTGCGTTGCACACTTTTGGACAAAATTATAATACCCTCTGCAAGGGTATAAAAACCTTCCTTTACTGGCGCTACTTAACATTTCGATTTATTGGTGGATTATTTCAATTTATAGTCCCTGGGATCCACTGAGTATCTGAGTATATCTCCTATAGTTTCTGAGTATATATATCGGATGATTCCCTCTATGTTACAAATATTCATACTAATACAATATACCCTTGTAATGTACGAGTACCGGATACAAGAAAAATTTGTCGTTTTGCCGTTGCTAGGATTCGAGTGTAGCGTTGGAAGTCGCACGTATTTCATATCAGACAAATAAGAAATTGTCTCACAACGAAATGCATCGGCCTGCGACGCATAGCCAAAGACAATTTTTTTTTTCAAATAAGGTTTGATTTCAGGGCGAATAAACCGTTTACTTTTTAATTTAAAATTTTGTTCGCTTAAAATATATTGAATTGCAATCCGTACTCTTACATTTTGTCAGAAAAAATATTTCACTTATGAATGGGAAAAACAGAACCTGCCTTAATAATAAATATTAACAAGTCAATATATTATATTTTTATTCCTGCACCCAAGTATACACGCAATGACATATAGCAGTGATGCTCATCCCATGGCTCTCGCTGCTCATTTGTTTTTGCAAATGCAAAAAGACCCAAGTTGTGTGAGAGTGCTCACGACATAAGGTTCGTTGCTCCCAGCATAGGCAAAGGACAATTACGATAACAATTTTTCGAGTTTTCCCTATTCTCCTCAATTGTGCTCATCCAAATGAATTTTGTTGTTGGAGTGATAAAAACTTTTCACGGCAAGAAATTCATTCTTTGTTTTGTTTCTGCCTCGTCCGGGACGGACCATGCACCGCCATCACTGCCAGAATTCGCCAGATCGAGAAAAAGCTGATCACTCGGAATTGCAGAGTCTAGGTCAGAAAAATAGCCCGTGAAATCGGAGTGAATCGAGAAAGGGCTCGGTTGATTGCAAAAAATGAACTTAATCTCAAGCCCTACAATCTACAAAAAGGGCGTCTTCTTACGGATGACAATAAGCGCGTGAGACTCCAAAGATGCCGTCAGGTAAAGCGTCGGGCCGCAGGTCAAAAATGGGAGCTTATTGTCTTCACGAGAAGATATTTACGAGAGCTTATTCTCTTCACGAGAAGATATTCACCATCCAACAGGCGCACAATCACCAAAATGACGGAAGCTGGTCGGCTGAAGCTCCAGGTACCTCTGCAATAATCGAGCGCCGTCAATGTGAGCAGTCTTTAATGGTTTGGGGAGGAATATGCGCCACCGGTAAAACATCCCTTGTTTTCATCGATCAAGGGTCTAAATTAATCAGGAAGTGTACCGCCGGGACATTTTGGAAACTGTTGTGCTTCCTTGGGCCCTGCAGCACTTCAGTGATACGGAGTGGACGTTTCAACAGGATTCAGCGCCAGCCCATAGAGCCAAATTGACTCAGGACTGGTGGAAAGCCAATTTTCCGGACTTTATCACATCCAGTGAATGGCCACCTTACTCGCCGGATCTTACTCCGATGCACTACAGTATGTGGTCTATTTTGGAGTCCAGGGAATGTGCTAAACGCCACATAAGTTGGAGGCGCTGAAGCAATCATTGCTCCGAGAATGGGATCGATTATCGGAAGAACCCCTGCGTCCCATTGCGCTAAATTTTCAGAAACGTTTAGGGCTCTGCATCGCAGCCCAAGGAAGCCACTTTAAAACCGGCTGAATATATGTTAACACAATACCTATGTATTTAAAAGTTGTGTATCTGCATTTTTTCTCAAATGCAGTTCCTTAAAAAGTTATGATCAAAAATGTTTGTCCGGGTTATTTATTGTCACCCTGTATAAATAAACTCGCAATTAACTGGAAGGTTATTTCAAGTTTGGCTATTTCCGAAGTTGGAAACTTCGGAATGGAAACTTTCCTTTCCTATTAAATTTAATTATTAAAAATGCAATTATGTATTCAAATTTCTTTTTTTTTTTTATATATATATATTTAAATTGCAAATTTATATATTGTATTCAAATTTAAATTCACTTTCTTTACTTATTAACATGAACGCATTTTTCGTTTCTCTTTTAGGTGCTTGAATCATCTAACAAATATTCTGGACTTGACGATGAAGAAGAGTCTGAATAAAAATATATATGTATACATGTTTTTTAAAAATAAATTCAAATAAATAAAAAAATATAGGTCGCATATCTACGTTTAAAAAAAAATTGTTGTATACCCCTGCAGAGGGTATTAAATTTTTTGTCCAAAAGTGTGCAACGCAGTAAAGGAGACATCTCCGACCCTATAAAGTATATATATTCTTGATCAGGATCACCTCCTGAGTTGATATAAGCATGTCCGTTTGTCCGTCTGTCTGTTTTTACCAGAGCTCGCAACTAACAGTTGACCGTTTCTTGTAGTCACAAAAAAACTGTTTTTTTGCACACCAGGTGCGCAAAAGGTCACACTAGAACCGTTCACCTGTGTCTCCTGAACGAACGGTCTGTGCTCAACCAAAAACAAATTTTCCGTGTCCTTTTTGCTCTGGTCATTCCCTCACCATTTTGCAACGAGCGAAGAAAATAAAAGCGTTTGCCTTTGTATGAGTGTATGTATATGCGAATGACTTGTAATTTACATGTTGCAAACCACACTTGCTTTGGTGGATTCGGTGCGTTTGGAGTGTTTAATTCTTGTGTCAAGATGGGTCGCGATCAATGGGTTGTAAGGCTAAATACTGAATAAATAATAAATATAATGTTAAGATTTATTAAATATGTTAAAGCTCTTACTAAACGTTATTAAAACGCTACTGAAGACGAAAGAAAATTTACGATTAGTTTTTCGTTTTTTCGCTCATCTGCTGACACTCAATGAGTGAGCGTTCAGTTGAATCGCTCACTCTAGGTCAGTGGTGGGCAAAACTAACACATGTTTAAAATTTGAGTGTGTGCGTAGCAGAGAAAAACAATGAGAGCAGAGAATTCACTGAGCGAAAAAAACGTATTTTTTTATTTCATTTTTCGTTTTTCAATGGGAACTAAAATAGTGTATTTTATTTCATAGACATCTTTTCTAGCAAACATTTCTTAAACAAATGAAAAACCACGCTTCCTTATCTATATTCTCCATGAAGAAAACTTCTTCCAACCCAATTTCTGAAGGATTTTTCTTTTTTCAACCCAATTTTTCTCAGTGGAAACATTTTGATTTTTATGTTTGGGCTGTCAAATGAGTCAAAATGAGAGCAAATGAGAGAGCTTCTAAAAAAAATTGAGAATGCTCACACTGTCAGTGTGCCGGCAGCGCTGCGGCAGAATTTCCTACCCTATACTCGCGTGCTATGTAAAATGAGAGTTTGCCCACCACTGCTCTAGGTTGTTGTTGAGTGAGCATAAAAACAACCCCTAAACGGACAACAGGTAACCGAAAACAAAAACAAGGAGCAACAAAAAGTTCTGTTCAGAGCGAGAGCACACGAGTATCGTCTTTTTCGGTTGTGTTAGTGAGCAAACCGAAACACGAAAAACGGTCAACTGTTATTTGCGAGCTCTGGTTTTTACCGGGGACCGCAAATAAGACTTATGAGTCCAAAAAAATTGAACCACAAAAAAGCGTTTGCGGGGAGTGGGAAAAGGACATACCATTTTTAACGGTGAATATGGAAACAATAAACTTTTATTTCCGATTTCTATTGTTAAAATTGAAATATAACTCTTATTTTCAATATTTTTATAATAAAGAATTATAATTTTATTTCAATTTTTATTAATTAATTAAAAATCAACATTTTATTTTTTTATTGAGATTTTTTTTTAAGAATAAAAAATATGATTCAATTTTTATTAAAGTTGAAAATAAGAACTATAAGAACTATAAAAATTGAAAATAAAAACTATTTCAATTTTTATTATTAAAAATTGAATGCGAATAACTTTTAAACCGAGTGGACTATTAAAAAACTCAACATATTTACTTATTTGTGATCTGTGATGCAGTACCTTTTAAATGATGAATCGAATGACCTTAAAGGACATAATCCTGGATTCTTCAAAATAACAGTGTTCATTACAAAAGGAATTCTTGATTATGCGAATCATGTGAAGGAACATTTTTAAACAATGCCATCTGCAATGACAATAAAGAGTAAACAGGTCCTAAAAATAATTTTCAAAAAATTTAACAGATCTTTTAATTGCTTTTTAAAGATTTATCAATTTGTCATGTTTGAGAGATCAATGTAGTAGGAGAGATACACAATAGGTATACTTTATGAGGTCTGGCACGGTACCTTCTGCTGCTGCATGTTTTTTTTGCCAATAATACCGCAACAAAATATATGTAGCAGAAAACCATAAATAAATTGAAGTATTGAGGAATCCCGGATTATGTTCTTTAAGGACATTTGATACATCATTTGAAATGTACTGCATCACAGATAATAACACAGTGCGACAGTGATTTGGAACTTTTGAAAAGACCTAGTAGGAATCGTTCATTAGGTTGAGTATAGTAAAAAACCGTGTTTGAAATTTTTTTAACACCCTCAAAATCTTGATTTATTTAGAAAAAACGGGTTTTCGGGACTTTTTTGCTCCTAAAAAATTCCGATTTTAAAATTTTAGATGTTTTTTAATAGTTAAATATTGTAGCTTTTGAAAAAAAATAAATCTTTAATTTATTTCAACAAAAAGGATAACACTTTTACGCAAGAAACTGATATTTTTGAATTTTTGTCGTGTTTTTTAGACTTTGACGCCATTTTTTCGGTACCATTTCTAAGAAATGATATCATTTTTCATACATATCATTATTGTCTCGTTAATTCTAAACAAAACGAGACCAATTTCATTAAGAAATTATGAAAATTGTTGAAGTTATAACGATTTTCTCAAAACATGCCGGTCCAATCTTGCTAGCGTTCCGGAGTAATAGTGTGCCCTTCCATTTCGCTTATTCCTTTCTTTTACACACTTTTACTCCGGAGCGCTAGTAAAATTGCACTGACTTGTTTTGGGAAAAGCGTTATAACTACAGCTGCCATATAACTCAAAGATCGGATATGACCCAACATTCGTGTTTTTGAAGATAGAACGCTTTAAAAGATTAGAAAGATTAAAGATTACTGTTTGTTCATTGAAGTTGTTTAATGACTGTAAATAAAATGTCAAAATGTATTTGGGTTTTTGACATTATAAAAATTTTTTTTTGGCCCCATATAAAATTGGGAATATACAAAAGAACGCCAATTTAGGATGCGAGCGCAAAGAGATAACGAACGAAAGTGCGCCAACCTTAGATAGTAGGCTGAGCGGATGCTTGCCAGCATAATTATTATAATATATTATATTACACAGGACATTGTTATATACCGGGTATAGATAGCCATTTCATGTAAATAAAACCTTTATAAAAAGAAATGGAGAACTCTAGTCCAATTGGAGTTCTTCGTGGTATTATTGAGTCGATACTTTTCATGTAGTCTTCAAGAGTCGTTGGCAGGGCCAGGACCTTATTCCAAGAGCAAAGAAAGTTTTTCTGACCAAGCTCCACTGAAACTCACACATGTTTAACATTTGACTCTTCATGCAGACCTCTAGTGTGTAAGCAGCAAAAACAATAATAGCATGGCATTAACTGAGCGAAAATATGCAAACTGGAAAATTGACCAAGACCTCCATGACAGTGATCACTTTCCCATTATCACTTCTCTGTTTCAAACAACTACCCACCAAAACACGGAGTCGCACCCAAAACGAAAATTCCTACAACAATTTGCCAACTGGAACAAGTTCGAGAAATTAACAGCAACATGAAATCCAAAGCTTCAATCCAGTTCAAATATAAACCAAGAAGCACCAAACTTAACAAAAATTATTTCACAAAGCGCCATTGAATCTATTCCAAACTCGGTCGATGTCCCCTGGTGGAACCCTAAGCTAACTCTTTTTCGTAAATCAAAACAAAAACTATGGCACAAATTAAAAAACACTATTATAAGTGAAAACTTAATTATCTACAAAAAAGCCAATGCACTCTTCAAAATATAATAAAAATTAGCCAAAAATGCAGCTATGCACGACTTTACATCAGATATACAACCAACTTCCAACCCCAAGATTATTTGGGAAACCATCAGAAGATTTTGTGGCCTAAAAACCTCTATACCCATTCACTGCATTTTACCAATTAAAATTACCGATCAGCCCATTATAGAGAAAAGAGATATAGCAAAAGAATTTTGCTCCCTCTGGTCTAAAAACTCTAATGACTCTAACTTCGATAGTAGCTTTCTTGCAAATAAAAACTCCACACTAAAATATATTAATCCCTTAACTTATCCAATAGACAAAAATGCAACACTTATTGAAGAAGAATTCTCAATTTTATAACTCCACGCGGCTCTTAACAAACTAAAAGGCAAAACTCCAGGGAGTGACAGGATTACATACGACATGATTAAAAATTCCTCCAGTATTATAAAACATAGACTACTACAACTGTATAATAATATCTTTCAGAGTTGCATACCGCAAAACTATAAACTGAGTATTGTTATCCCAATTGCTAAACCAAACTCTGACAAAACATCTCCTAATTCGTACCGTCCCATTTCACTAAACTCTTGCTTTGCTAAAGTTCTCGATAAAATGATAGCCAATAGGCTTTGGTGGCTTTTAACTAGCAACAAACTATTGAATAAAAATCAGTTTGGGTTCATTAAAGGTAAATCGGTATCTGAAGCTCTACTCTTAGAAGATCATCTGATTACTAAATCTTTACAGAGAAAAAACCATATCTCAATACTATCTCTCGACTTCCTCAAAGCTTTTGACAAAATTGGAACTCATACAATTTTAAATTAACTCATTTCGTGGCACGTCGGCCCCAAAATTATAGGATACATCAAAGACTTCATGACAAAGCGGAAAATAAAAGTGAAAATAGGGAATGCTTTCTCCAGAACGTTAGACCTCCATAATGGAATCCCTCAGGGATCACCACTATCCGTCGTTATTTTTACAATCGCTTACAATAAACTATGCGAAATAATCCAAAGTCACAAAAAAAATGTCGTTCTGCTCCTACGCTGACGATTTCAACATCATTCGCCCTCTTGGTAAACCTATAAACCTCGATATTAACTTTAGCAACATACTTACTGACATTCTAAACTGGTGTAACTACTCAGGTGCTAGCCTCTCAGTAGAGAAATGCAAGCACATACACATATGTAGGAAATATAACGGTAATATAATATATCAAAAGCTATTCTCTGAAATTAAAAATACTCTAAAGGACTTCGAATTTATTTATTCAGACGCTTCTAAAATAGAGAACACAACCAGCTTCAACCAGCAATTTTCCAAGCCATAACCCTACACAAAAACTCTTCAAAAAAAAAAACACAATATAACACGTTCTATCCGACTGCCCCAAGTTTACATCCATTAGAAAAAATATTTTCCAAAACGCCGATCCTATATTATCAATATCCTTCCCCACTATAGAATCCTTTGATAAAATCCTCCAATATCTCAAGCAAACAAGAAAGTATAACCTAATATAATTTTTAGTTTAATCTGTACATTAATAAGAAACATATTCTACCTTACACGAGCTTATAATTTTAATTATAACCTAATTATTAATAAAAATTAATAATAAATACTGAGCAAAAAAACTTTTTTTCGTTTTTGTTTAATTCGAAAGTTTGAATGGGCACTTAACAAGTACATTTTTTTTATTAAAGAAATCTTATCTCGCAACAGTTCTTAAAATAAAAAACGTTGTAGTTGTTTAACCAAATTTCGGAGAAAATTGTTCTCAATGAAAGCACTTATCTTTAATGTTTTGGCTGTCAACACATGTTTGCCATTTTTATTTTAACACATAGTCGCCGTTCCCAGGTTCGCGTTCCCCCACAGCTGGGAGCCATACGTCCAGATTGGCTTTAGGACTGAATTGTACAGTAGTAACTTGTAGTCGAGGCACAGTGGCGATCGTGAGTTTATGATCCAGTGGAGGCTGCTGGCTTTCAGTTTTAGGTGCATCTTTTTGCATTCGATGTGCTTACGCCAGGTAAGTCGTCTATCAAGGTGAACACCAAGGTACGTTACGTCGTTAGCTTGAGGGATCTGCATACCGTTTAGTAAAAGCGGAGATCATTTTTGTCTATTAGGAGTAAACGTTATATGTTTACACTTTTGTTCGTTTATTTTGATGCGCCAGTCGGACAGCCACCTTTCCACTATTGTGAGATGATTAGGTTGTGTTGTTGCCTGCGTTGGTCATCTGAAGCGACTAAGGATAGCGGTATCATCGGCGAACGTTGACGTTGTTGGTTGTGCGCTCGTAGGAATAACCGCAGTATACAAAACATATAGACACGGGCCGAGTGGGCTTCCTTGTGGAACTCCAGCTTCGATGGTGTAGTCGCCCGAAGTAGCTGCGTTGCATCTCACTGAGAATATCCTATTGTAGAGGTATGATTCCTGTAGCTTGTGGGTGTATGTTGGCAAATACGTTTTAATTTTGTGCATGAGTCCGATGAGCCA